TGTAAAGGTAAAAGCAGAAGGATGGAGAGGAACAAAAGTAAGAGGAATTGAAAAAATATAAGTATAAGACAAGAGGGAGAAGCTTCAAAGTCACATTTGGCATGATTGCACTGCAACTAATCCATACTAAAGATGAGGTCAAAAGCTTGACTCGACATCACTTGCAATAACTACAACTCAAGCTCAAAATTGCCTATACACACAACTAAGTATACCTCATCCTATGCACATGTGTGTGTACAGCTATTACCATATAGAATGAAATCTGGCTCTACCACACAATATAAATGTAAATAGCAACGTATGGCAATAAGTCGAGCAATAGAAAATAAACTCAAACCTATATCAACCAACACAGAGAAAATAATAGGAGACCTTTTGTTATAAGAATGAGCTTGGAAAGTAAACACTAAATTAACTAATGCCGAGTAAACCCCTTGATGATACTCTCGAAAAGGAGATGGAAGGGTTACCTCAATATCTAAACCTTCTACTATAGTAGCACTAACAAGACATTGTTAATGCTAAGGTCTCTACCAAAGAAATGGAGGTTGTCAATCCAAAAAATGCCGATAACACCGATAAGTGTGACTAATTTCATCACATGCCTAACAATGGACATCATGGCCACAAGTATGTCTTTTCCCTTGTTCTTAAACTCAGACAACAGTAACATCAACTTCTATTGGAACAGAACTATCTCCCATAAGAAGTGGAGTTGAAAGACGTGTGGCAAAAAGTGGAAGAAGTGACACCTCATAACGTTATACCAAGTGAAGAGCATTGTCAATGGTGGCTGGAGCAAATGCATGCATAAATCCTACAAGATCTTGATGAAGTGCTGACCACAACATTCCTAAATTGATCTACTTTAACATATTGGGCTCCGGACAAAGCAAGAGGCTTCATAAACAAATGCCAATTATATCATAGACTCAAATGGCTCTTAACAAAGATGATATAATTGTTGGAAAGCATCATCATAATCGTTAACATATCCAAATGCGTGTTTGAAGACGTTCAAGGGAATGCTCCAATCCTTATAAATGACTACACTCAAACCATTGTACCATTGCAATGCTATCCCTTAGAGACACATAGGAAATTCATACAAACACCAAACATCATCCCAAGAATTATATGTGGCAATCACCGTGAAGTGATTGAACTAATGGTACACATCAACCCTAGGATTCTTGTGGAAGGACTCTAGCTAAACTTAAGGATTGACAACAAGAGTAAAAAGAATTGTACCACGTGTTATGAATACCACCATCAACTAAGTTTAATTGTTCAATTGCAGCCATATAGCATTGAGCAATTGCACCAATTGCTACTCAAAAGTCAAAGGAGGAAGAGGCTGCTACTTTACCATAAAAATGAACAAAAAAGAAAAAAGCAAAAGAGAAAAAATTGAAAAAATTATAAGAAAAGGGAAATTTAAACAATATAAAAGCTAGATTTAAAGTAAAATTTCAAATCCAAACACTCATCAAGGACAATCAATGTTGCCTCTCATCTCCACTAATGTAAATGCATGGAATATGGAAATGAAATATAGAAATGTCTATATCAATTAGCCCAAAAACCCTAATTTATATATAGGAGTAAATGGTCTGAATTAAAATTAATTCAACGGCTACCAAAATCCCATTATACTAATATTAGTATATAGTATTGTAACCATACACTTGGAGTATAAAACTATAATTTAAATTTATAAAACATTTTATAATATAACTTTTTAAAAAGTAGTATTTGGAATATTTTTAATCAATTGTTTTAGCTCCCCAATTATAGTACTTATAGATGCAAGTGCTTACATCTCTAACCTAGGCTTTAGTAGCTAAAAATATTGCAATTACTCTGATTCTTTCCTCAAAAGTTATAAAGATTGAGGATAGTATAATAAACATCAAATGCCAGTCTAGATATAATTGTTAATCTTCTCATCACAATCACATCGCTCAATCTTTATTTAAGGAAAGAGAGTGGTAAATATGGTTTATATTAGTGATATATTAGAATATTAATGTTAAACTTTTATTAGAAAAAGTTAAAGAATTGAATTAAAGAATATCCTAGAAGATATTCTAAATATTTTTTTATACCTTTATAGATTTTCTAAAACAAACCAGAACTATTTCTTAACTAAATTAATGTTATAATTTGTTTTATAGTATATTCATACGTTTAATACTCCTAGTCGGAAGGATAGTGGTCATTCACATGTAAGATGGCAATGGAGGCATAGCTCTATGGTAGAGCATTTGGGTCGCTAGTTGACTCCGGCTGTCTCCTCACATTATCCTAGACGTGATCGTTTCCTAAAGACTGACAGAAACGCTACGATGTTTTCCTCATGGAACAACGCGGATCGACATTTGAGTTGGGAGAAAATTTACCACTTTGGAAAAGGAGGTACTCAACATTCGTTTCGTGCTTGCTAGCTACTCACTCGGTTGATGAAAATCGCTAGCTACGCTTCCGTTTGCTGGTGATTGGCACCAGGACCATTCTCTTCCGCGGCACTCTCCATGAGCTCGTCGAATTTGTCCGACTTCTTGAGCACAATCTCGATCTGGAGCACACGATTTGGTTTTCCCAATTGAGAAGAGAAGTGGACGCAAGCTACCTTTGCTTTCTGGACTGGGCGCCCCCGAAGCTCGTCCTGGATTTCAATCGTCGAGGTGTAGATCTCTACAGAGAAAAAGGCCGCAATGAAAGGAGAAATCTTTTATCAAAGTCTCTTACTCTTCTCGAGCGCCAGACCGTTGTTCTTGAGTATTTCCACCACTGTGACGACGGTCGCGATCGCTGTTCACATCTCCAAATCCATAAGAAACCGGCAAATCGATTGCAACGAAAGTTTTACCCATTCCCAGCCCTGAGAGCTCCACTTCCCCGTATTGCTGCATGAATCGCTGCCGAGCGCCCCAGGAAAACATAGAATCAGCGAAAAAGGAGAGAAACCCCGACCCGCGGACGCACCTTGGAGAGATTGACATAGAAGAACAGCGGCTTCTTCGTGTTGGAGACCTGGATTCTATTCTTTCTCCCTCCACCAGCGCCAGTGCTAGCGCCGCCAGCGCCTCCTCCAGCGCCGCCAGAATCCGCCTCCGCCATCGCCGTCGCGCTCTCGTGAAATTTCGTGCCTTCTCCCCCAAAACCCTAAACCCAGGGTTAGGGCAAAAGCGCGCTAAAGCCCACTGCCACGTGTCGCTCCTGACACGTGCCATTAAGCCCCGTGGTCCACCTCATCCGCCAGCCTGGCACTCTGTCCGTACCACGACCAGCGCGTACGGACGCTCTCAATAGTTCCCCGTCGAGGGTTTTGGGGAATCACGAGGAGTGTGATGCGCGCGGGTGAGCTCCTCCTAGGGCTGGGGAATTCCATGGAGCAGCGGCGGCGAGCGAGCTTAGGTCGATTGGAGCGGCCAATGGAGGTATAGATTGCCGCGTGAATCAATCCCTAGGAATCGATCGCGTTGCCCGGCCAGGTCGGTGTGAGAATCCGGCCAGGAAGGGCAAATGGAGGGGCTTGGCGATGGCTATGAGGCATTCGTGGAGAGGCTCCAGTCGGATTTCGCCACCAGCGCTAGGAAGAGCGGCAGCAATGGCGATACCCGGGGAGGAGGGCCGGGATTTGGATTGAAAATGGAGCCGGCTACCTCGCCGACGAGCTCCGACGCGTCCAGCTCGCGGCCGGCGCGATCTCTCTCGGTGGATCTGTCCATGCAGGACGTGAGCTCCACTCCACAATACTCGCCGCCATCGTCTTCCCGGGACACCAACGCTAACAACAACGCTACCAACAATTCCACCAACAGTGGCGAGCCCGTGAGGAGATTTGGACACCACCGGCGAGCACAGTCCGAGATAGCGTTCCGGCTACCCGAGGCTCTCTCCGACTTCCACACCAACAATGGAGTTAACAACAGTGGTGGTGGCGGTGGTGGTGGAGGTGGTGGCGCCGCCAGCAATCTCGCCGAGATGCCGGCTCTCTCCGACGACGTTGGCGAGGACCTCCTCTCGATCTACATCGATATGGAGAAGATGAGCTCGCCTTACGGTGCCTCCAACAAGCATGACTCTGGCGGCGTCGCGGCACTGGGCAGCCAGCAGCCAGGCCACCACCACCACGCGCGGAGCTTGTCCATGGATGGAGCGTTGCAAGGATTCAATGCCGACGCGGTGAGGCGGCCCCGGCACCAGCACAGTAACTCCATGGATGGATCCTCGAGTCTAAAGCACGATCTGGATGTGGAGAGCGCCGAGGCGAAGCGAGCTGCCGCGGCTGCCAAGCTCGCGGAGCTGGCTTTGGTCGATCCAAAGCGTGCCAAAAGGTCAGCCTTTGCTGGTTTAGTTTTCTCGTTCGAAGCTTTGGGAGCTGATAAGTTGCTGTCGCTGTGGATCAGGATTCTTGCCAATCGACAGTCCGCTGCTCGCTCCAAGGAACGCAAGATGCGATACATCTCCGAGCTGGAGAGAAAAGTCCAGACCCTCCAGACCGAAGCTACGACTTTGTCCGCGCAGCTGACAATGCTACAGGTTTGTCACCTCACCTGTATCCATTCCTGATCTTTGGCATTTCTAGAGGGACACCGCGGGACTCACGACCGAAAACAACGAGCTCAAGTTGCGATTGCAAGCAATGGAGCAGCAAGCCCAGCTTCGTGATGGTAGGCTTTTTACTTTACTCTCGCTTTGGCGCTGATGTTTTTTGTCTCTCTCTCTCACATGGAACTTTTATTTTTTTGTTCTTTTGCTAAAGCTTTAAACGACGCATTGAAAGACGAGGTCCAGAGATTGAAGATCGCAACCGGTCAGATCTCGGGAGAAAACGGCCAACACCAGCTCATGAATCATCAACAGCAGCAGTACTTTCATCATCAGCTCTCGCCACAACAATTGCAGCAGCTCCAGCAATTGAAAAACTCGCCACAGCAGCAGCAGCAGCAGCAGCAACAGCAAACGGATTTCTTCCAATGCAGGTAGAAAAAAGGAAGAAAAAAAAAACGAGAGAGTGGCAAGAGGAAAGTTTTCACGGTTTCTCCTGCTTGTTCCTCCCAGATGAAGACGAAGACAATCTAGAATAAGAATGCGTTGGCAACGGGATGAGGCACAACAGAACAAGCCCGGTCGGTGTAATTTTAATTTTTTTTTCCTTTGGATCTAAATTCAAGTTCATGTTTGTGGTCCTCTTTTCTCTGATATTTTTTGTTCTTGACGAGAGTAAACGATTCTCCCGCAAGAACATTCTTTGCTGAAAAGTCAACACGAGAGTCAACCTCGCGATTATCCATCTTCGCATGGTATGTTTTTTAAATTCTGTTTTGTTCCGCGAATGATTCACATTGCTGTCTTGCAGTCGCCCGCAGTCGCCCGCAGTCACAAAAGTTTCGTGAAGAAGAACACGCTTTTGTCAGTTCATACCTTGTGGATCGCTTGAAAGTTCTTCCAGAAACGAGGTTTTTCTTTGCTTCTTTTGCTAGATCTTTGTTTTTTAAAAAAGCTCGTGACTTTAATCTCGCTAAGGTTTCGCTGTCGGGAGCAGTGGCAGCGGTAGGTGGAAATAGTTTGGACTTGAGTCTTTGGTTCTTCCTCTCGATCAAATCTTGATCCGTGAGCTGAAAGCTTTCTCACTCTTCTTTTTTTCTCTTCTTGGAAGCGAAGTGGTACCTAGGCATTGATAAGTTTCTTCTCGTTCTCTGTTCTAGCTTCAAACTTCCATCTCCTTGGATAGATTTCTTTCTCCGATCGAGAGAAGCAGCAAGAGGGCAGTGAAAAGAGTGTAAAGGGTCTTCTGGGTCGCCATTCTTTTTCCGGAGCCAAACTCCGGAATCTCTCATCGATGCAAGCAAGAAAGCCAAGAAAACCGAAGCTCTGAACTATGGCAGTCGTCTCCTTTCCATCGTCTCCTCTCTCGGGATCTTCATTCAAAGCGCTCCTCAAGTCGCTGAGCAGCCGCGCCTCCTCGGACGCCCCGGATTTGTGGGTGGCGGCCACCATTCTCTTCTCCGCCGCTACTTACTTCTTCGAGTATGGCAGCAACATCGCCACCGCGTGGAAGTACTACATTCTCGAGTACCACAACCAGAGCAGCGATGTGAGGATCCACTCGGAAGGGCCGCGCTCCGAGTTCCCGGGGATCTTCCCGGGCATTGTCGCGATCATGGCCATAGCTCATGTGATCAATGCGCTGGTTTTCTATCTCCATCTCGACAAGAGCAAGGAGGCTGTCAAATGCGCGTATTTGCTGCCAGTGATCTACCTCCGGAAGCTCACGCTGCTCATCTTTAGAACTGGACAACTCCAGGGGTGAGTTCCTTCCTTTCCTTCTTGTTCTTCTTTCTCTTCCTTGAGAACTTCTCCCGGATTGTCTTGGGTGTTCTAGTTTTCTAAGTTCTGTGGACTCCACGAAGGTTTTCGTCTTCGTTTTCTACGTGAGTAGAAGCTTTCTTCTTCGTTTTTCTTTGGCGAATTGCGATTCTTTACTTTGCTTGTTCCAAGTTTTTTCTATGTTTTCTTTCTGAGAGCTGACAAGTTTAATTTTTGTTTGGCTCTAGAGTGAGGGACTTGCGATCCAACGAGATCGATGCCGTGTACAACATCCTCGCGGCAGCGCTAGAAACGGGTCCCCAACTTGTTCTCCAGTTCCACGTCTTTGCGGAGCTCGGCTACCTCTCAGGCCCCGGAGCAAAGCCACCGACCATTCTCGTGCTCTCTCTGGCGGCCTCGTTTCTCTCGGGTGCTTACAACGGTGGCCTGGCTATGGCCACCACCTCGGACAAGGCAACGCTGTTTGGAAGATCGAGCATGGGAATCGCTGGAGGTAAGTTGTCCATTCTACTTTTCTTTTCTTTGTCTTATGGTGTTCTTGTGATCCATCCAGGACTACACATTGTCTCCGCATTGCTCGTGAGAAGCCTGGCGTTCGAGGTCATAACCGAAGAGGGATTCTACCACTCATCGTCACCCTTTCGCTACTACTACTTCTACTTGGTTCTCGTGATAGTCGTACCATCGACCGCGTTTTGGATTCTCTTGAGGTCTCCCACTTCTTCCAGCCAAAGTGGAAGGATAGCCCAGGAAGAAGCCACAGGTCCTCATTGCCAACATCAAGCTCCCGAGACCATCCAAGCAAACTTTGAGCAGCCTTTCTGGAAAACAGCGTTAAAGATCATCTCGTACGCGTACGTGAGTATCACTCTGGGGCCGCTCTATCCTCTCGTGAGCCATGCAAGGCAGATCAACCAGCCAGGCAAACAACTCAGAATTCGACTCGCCAAGGCAAGCGCGGCTCACTTTTCTCTCGACTTGCTCGTCATCGTTTTCGTTTGCGGGGCGCACGGAAGAACCTGGCTCACGCCTTGCTACCTCGAGTGGTCGAGACCTCGGGATAGACGGATCCACAAGAGGATGTTCAAGCAGAGATTTATGAGTTGCTCGTGGTTTAAGGCGCTGCTTGGCTTTAGCTTGCTGTTCTACGTCATCACCATCGCTTCTTTCATTGTTCTCGATGTCTACACCGCGAACAAGCTTGAGAAGAAGTCCTCGTTCGCCGAGGAAGAGGAAAACGAAGATTTAAGTGCCAGAGGCAACAAATCTAGCGCTTCATGCATCGGCTTCGAAGGCTTGTGGTAAGCTTTTTATGGTTTCTTTTCTTATCAGTGCCTGACTTCGATCATTCTTTACAGACTGTGTTAGAAATCTTCAATCAGTCATTGTATTTCGTGAGAAGCCAAGCCAAACTTTTGGCTACGTAAAAGTTATAGTCACACAAGAACACAGCTCGCGGGATCAAGAATCTGCGGGCCAAAGAATCGTTAGAAGAAATTTTTTCTGTGTGAGTTTCCACCCGATGGACACGGGAGGACGCCTGTGTTGGTCAAGTTGCTGCTATCTTCTTCGCTCCTAAGTTATTGGAGGTATGTAAGTGTTCTTCACACTTTTTGTTCTAGCAAGTACTGATCGCGTTGGTCATTGGCAGCGACGAGAAGTTGGATTCCAGCGAGCTCCACAGCGTCAATCCGGCACCGGCACCATCTTCTGGATCCACACCGCCGCCAGGAGTCGCGGTCTCTTGCGCAGCCGGAGGACCGCTCAATCCAAAGTCGTGCTGGAACGGAGTGTAAGACGAAGACGAGGAAGCACCGCCACCTTCTTGATGGTGGTGATTGTTAAACACCTCCTCGCTCGCAACCAGGTACTGGCTTCCTTCGTCCATATCGATCTCACTCTCCTGACCGCCAGCCGGAGAGGTCGATCGATCGTCCAAGCTCGCCGGGTTCGCGGAGGTTCCACCGTTTGTGGAGGTCTTCTCCAGCATTTGCCTGAACATATTCGACTGGAGGAGGAGTCCCAGCGCCGTGGGAGCGTTCTTCTTTTGAGCCTTGCTAGCGTTGTGCTGCGCCACCGCCGCTCTCGAGAGACCCAGAGTAGGAAGCTGGTAAGGCTCGCTCGCCTGCGAAGTAGGCCACACTCTAGTGCTTCCGCCATTGTTTTCCAGCACTGACGAATCCTTGCCGCTTCGATCGACTTGCAGGATCTCGTCCGCAAACTCGGCTCCACTGGCATCGTTTTCCTTGGAGCCAAAGTCGTGGTTTTCGTGGAGATTGGCGGTGGCTCCTCCGGCTGCTTGCTGCTGCTGTGCTCCGGGCCTCAGCCAGCGGATGTATCGGCTGAGATCGAAGTTCGTGACGGCATTGAGGCCTCTATACTCGATCGCGGCCATGTCGTAGGCCGTGGCAGCTTCTTCCTGCGTGCCTTTGGACGAAACAATAGTGTAAGTTCTTCGTTTTGTTCTTGGAAGTGTTGGAAACTTACTGTATGTTCCCAGGTAGAGATACTTGTTGCCAAACACGCGGCCGATCCGAGCCTCCCATCGCCCGTTGTGGTGGTGCCTCGCAACTCCGCGGTACTTTGACACTCCTCGCGAGAATCCACTGCTTTTCCTGGAGAATTACAAAGGCATCGAGTGAGATTCACGACGAGAAGGAGCTCTCGCTCGTTGTTCTTCTTGCCTTCGAAGAGAGGCCAGGTACTCCTCTCTGGAAACGTTTTGCATCTCTTCGATATCTCTGGTATAGTCTGTCACCTGCGAGCAAGGGGGAGCAAATCATCGTCAAGCCAAATGGAATGGCTTGAGCTTTTGAAAATCTCACAGGGAAGTTGATGAGCGTTCCAGGTCCCCAGTATTTGAGAGCTGCCAGATCGTAAGCTCTCGCTGCTGCTTCTTCGTCGTCATAAGCTCCTGGAAGGTTGGAAGGAAACCATTTAGACAAAGATCACGAGCCACAAATGCAACTTACCGAGATAAACTGTCCGAACGAATACAAAGTTTTTGGAAAGAGGAGAAAGATCAGTGTTAAGCAAGAACAAAGATCACAGTGAAGTATACCTTGCTTTCCCTTTTTGTTTTGTGTGTGATTCCAAGTTCCCTTGTCCCACAGATGAGCTTCATAGCGACCAGTCCATCTATGCCTGATAGAAAAGAAGGATGTTTAGATCTTCGCTTTGAGCAATCCATCTTTTTTGTTCTCGCTACCTTGTGACGCCACGGTAGATCGAGCTTCGTTTCCCCGCAGTGCATGGGGGCATTTTACTGATTCTTTCCTTTGCAGTGGAGCCTCGCTTGCGTTTGCCTCCGACAGCAGCGTGATTTTGCTGCTGCTGGGCTTGGATTTGCTGCTGCTGCTGCTGCTGCTGCTGCTGTTGCTGCTGCTGAATTCCTAGTCTATCGGTGAGATTGAGCGCGAGGCCAGCGTCATCTTCTAGCTTTGTAAGATCCGGTTGCAAGTTAAGCCACGCAGAGGTATCCATATTTCTCTACTAATCTTCTCTTTTCTACTCTGTTGGATTGGTTAGAGGCTCGGTGAGGGGGAATTAGCGAGTGGATTCCAGGAGGAGCTGCATCTTCGGAGACCCAATGCGTGGAAATGGCGACCCAGATTCTCAATTTCTGATTTTGGGGAGGAAGCAAGGCGCTAGAACCGATCAACTGGATGCTAAGATCGAGAGGAATGAAAGGAAGAAGAAGAAGAAGTAGAGGAGGGAGGAGAAAAGAGAAGGAGAAGGATGATACAATCTAAGCGAGGAGGACTATATGTAGCCTCGTTCACGCGCGAACGAGGGCGAGGCGCTCTTTTGTCTGGGCGAAGGCAACAGAGCAAACAGGGAGGAAAAAAACACAATTAAAGGGAGGAAGGGAAAGAAAGAACGAAGGAATGAGGGAGTGGCGATGGGCTCACCAATGCCGGCCTAAGAGGACAAGAGGATTCATCATACCCGCCGGGGCCGAGGTCGCGAGAGTTTGTCCACTCCGCGGCGCAAAAAGAATTTCGGGGCAACCTTGCTGGGATCAAAACCATCCAAGCCTCAAAACAAAAGAGCCACGCCTTGCTTGTGCGATTTCCCAGCTGTAGAAGTGGCGAGGAGGGACCCAAAAAGCCACCAAATCCAAAACAAGACGATCGATCGAGGGCGAGAGCTCCGAGGAGAACAAGGAAGAAGGCGATTGATCGATCGATCGAGTGGCTGGAGAGGAAAAAGAGAGCACCCTGGGTAAGAATCTACTATATATCCACCCGGAGCGGGGCGAGATCGACAATGCCGCAAAGCCACGCTGAAGAACAACGTTCGCGACAGGGGGACGAAGCACGGAAGGGCGGTACGGAAGGGGGCACGGGCGTACGGTACGTGGCTAACGGTCATGTCGACGTGGCGGGATCGTACGGCATCGGGTACGGCATGGCCGCTGTTCCTGGTTTGGCTCGCGTTTCGCGAAAGAGACGAAGGCAACAGTGTGAGATTCTCTAGATTCCGTGCTTTCGTTTTAGCCGGGCTCTACAACAACAGGGAGTAAGTTAAAAGCGGGATTGTTTCGTAAGAAATTCGCAGCTCTGTTCACTTTTTTTACGCTCTAGAAGGTTGGGCGATGGAGCTCCAGGTGGTGCGCGCTGCGAGGCCTTTGACGATTTGATTTTCTTGTCATCTTCGCAGAGAGTTTGGCATCAAACCCATCGAAAGTGGCTCCTCTTCGTGCAAAAGTCTGGCCTTTTCGGGGGCAGGAAAAGCGAAGGAAAACGATAGAACTCCAGTGGAGATTCGGGGCATTCCGAGAATTGAACTCGGGACCTCTCGCACCCTAAGCGAGAATCATACCACTAGACCAAATGCCCATCACATTTCTTCACAGTGTCCTCTCCCGTTTGCAATACTTTGACTTACAAATATATTCTAGAAATGTATAGTTATAATACTAATTCCACATATGAAACTTTGACTAGTAGTTGCAAAGAGTAATATATAAACAAGGGAGATGCGTTTGTATTGTAGCATTTCATTGCAATGGCGAACACATCCGCTTGTTTGCGTGCTTGGGCTATAATCTTAGGGTTGTTTTTTCTTGCGATTTTTGCTGCTAGTGCTCGCGTGACAACGGATGATCACTGTGCCAAGGTATTCTCGCTGCCTCCAATCTTTTCCACGGTTCGAAGCATAATTTTCCGGCGAAAACTTCCCCCTTATGCTCTCAAGCCTGAGAAATGCCTTGTACCACCATGCTGAGCTGAGTAAAGCTTGGAAGAATCGCTATAGCACTAGGGTTAAGATCCATGAATATATTTCACTCCAAATAGTAATTGCTAAGCTTCTGAAAGCTCGAAGTTCCAATGGATTTTCCTCTCTAGGCTGTTGCCGAAAGCAAACAATGGCTCAAAGACAAACTCTAGATAATGTAGGTTCTTTTCTGCTAAACGTGGCTGTGGTATCCACAAAGAAAATTCTTGGGAGAAGAACCAAAGTCAATGGATATTATGATTAAACATGTAGTTTTACATTAAATTGACCGTCCATATAGTATGGTCATAGCGGTGTCATATGAAATGAAAATTTTATACATCCATATCGAAGTTTTACTGTAGATTTTTTATAAAGACTAGGGAACCGGATCGTAAACAAAGTCAAAGTCACAAGCTTCTAATTTATATTTATTGACTTTGACATGAATTGCCTCTTTTTGCTTTGCTCACATTTGATCATTGAGAAATTAATCCTTATATTGTATTTTTACCCAATTTATCGCCCAAGTGACACACAAGGATGTTATCTACATATTATTGTTGAGTTACATATATGACTAGAACTAGTTACAAGAAGTATTAAATGTGTTTGTAACATTCATTTCCTGTGGCAAACACAAGCGCTCGTTTGTGCGCTTTGGCAATCTTGGTCGTTTTGGTGCTTGCTACTAGCCCGGGTGACCCCGGATGATCATGGCAAGGATTTCCCGCTGCCTCCAATCTTTCAACGGTTCAAAGATTAATCTTTCTGCGAAAACGTCCTTCTTACGCTCTTCAGCCTGCGAAATGCCTTTTACTGCCGTGTGGTGGAGCTTGAAGAGCACTATACATAAATATGTTCATTCCAAGATTTGTAATATAATTTGGCAAGCTCGAACTTCTAATATGGATTTTGAATCTCTCTAGACTTCCCGAAAGGAAACATTGGCTCAAGGGTATCCACAAAGAAAATGTGAATTCAACAAGTACTTATTAGATACGTGAATGGGAGAATATTTTTACAAAAACTTACTGTAACTTGGGTTCCGTAACTCTATTACATATAAGAACCTGTATTTAGAATTAATAGGAGATGCATTCTTAACGCTATCTTCAATCCCTTCCACCTTTCGAAGTATAATCTTCTGCCGAAAACTTCAGCCTTGCTCATGCCCCTGCGCCATGCCTTCTACCGCCATGTGGCTTGGAAGAGCACTAGAATAAGATTCCATGAATAAATTCCATTCGGAGATTTGTAATATATATTTCATTCAGACTTCAAATATGGATTTGGAATATCTCTGGAGTTGCCGAAAAGAAACAATGGCTCAAGGACAAACTGCAGTATCTAATGTAATAAGAAATATTATATATCCATATAGAACTTTCACCAAACTATAGATTTTCGATAAAGACTTGGCAACCAGAGGCTTACCAACAAAGTCAAGAGCTTCCAAATATATTTGGATTCACATTAGCAGTTTTAATTGCCGTTGGACAGATCCTTATTAGCATTTTCGGGTGCACTGGTAGCATCTGGCAAACAATCCAAACGAGTCAATCTGATCCACCAGATTCCTCACACTTGCATACACTCCAAACCCAAATCCAACAATTAAAACCCACACAGTTATGAAAGAATTGAGAAGATACACCAAGGTCCAACTTCTCAGGATCCACGTCGGGGGCTGTTCTATGGCGGCCTGAAAATTAGTCAAACGCTCGGTCAAAGTCTGATAAGAAACAAAGTCAGACCTTTCTGGCCGTGGATTTGAAGTTGGCAACCATATGAGCCGAGCAAGGTATGAGATATACGCTGAAGGTTACGAGCAAAGATCCAACGGCGGAGTTGATTGGCCCGAAAAACGGGATCATGATCGCGATGAACCATGTCGCGAGAACAACAGGAATCCTCGCAATGGCTCGAAGAACGTAGTATTTGGAGTGATGGACACCCACAAACTTTTCCCAGATGATAAAGATTGGAAGGCTAATGAGCCCAAACTGTATAAACTGGATCACAAGCAAGGAAAATCGATCATGATCAAGTTCATGTTAAACCAACAAAAGAAAACGATCACCTGGTGCATGAGCATGAGGATGACGGCAGCGTCGCGGAACTTAGTTTTTGGAAACACCGCAAACGCATTGGCGTTGTCGAGCATCTTGTCACCAAATCGCCAGTAGACAGCGATGGCGGACGGGAGCGTGAGCGTGAAAATGTAGACGATGGCGTACAGGTAGACGAGCTTGAATTTGCGTGGCTTCCACATTGCATGCATGATCTCCCTGGAAAAAATTTCACCGTGGCCAATTCTCTAGTTTCATGGACCTTTGGATTCAAGCTTACACTGTCACAGTACTACCAAAGGCGTAAAGGATATTCGTGGCGCCAGTGAAGTACTGCACGACGTTCTTTGCTCCAGAGTGAGTGACATCCGGATCCTAATGAGATTCAAATCTCAATGTCTCGTGAAAACGAAGAAGAACAAAGGAAAACAAACAAACAGCAAGAACAGAAGGAAAAGACCAACCTTGCCGTGAATTACAGCGGTTATGGTGAGATACCACGCCGTGTAGGTGGTCATGAGGATCCCCGAGAAGGATAAAACTCTGTAGTTGTGAGCGCTGGGGATGAGCACGGTAACGAGGCAGCAAGCTCCAAAGATTATTGTCCATGTCCGCTTGGGGAGAGAATCTTTGATGTAGTACACAGTGCTGGGGGCAATCAAGAAGAGAAGCGATTCAGAGGGATCCGGGCATTGGGTCTCGTGGGTTTGTGGAAAAAACTTGGACTTCTTACCTCCCGCAAGCGATCACTTGGATGGTGGCTGTGCAAAATAGAAGCACGGTGTTGAAGAAGATCCCTGCCGCTCTCCAATAGGGTCCCAGCAATCCTCCAAGAACTTCATACCACTAGAAATGAAGTAGAAGCTGATATTTGGACTGGTGGATGATTCGCATACCTGGATAGTGTGATTCTCGAAAGCTTTCGGGTTTTCTTTCTCTTTGGCCGCCCTGTAGTCTGCGTAGAGAGACGTGATCATGTAACATGTCCAGCAGCCCATGAATCCATAGAGCACCTGGAACACAATTCCAGATGCTAGCCCGAGTTGAGCGAACGAATAGGGAAATGTGAGAAGAACTTGGGCGATCTTATAGAAAACCGCAAATGGTTCGCAGGCGAGATCAAAATGATAGACTAACCTGGGCGGAGGTGGCATTCAACCATGCATCAAAAGCGGAGCCACCGTGCCAGGCGATCGACTTGAAAGTTTCAAACCATGTGTCATTTGGATCAAGCCTGTGTTCT